CACTGATTCAGGAGGTGTTTGAGATTACATCAACTTCCATGTCATTTTACATGCAACCCCAATTCCAAAAGGTTAGGACGTTCTGTAAAATGTAAGTAAAAACAAAATTTCGTGTTTTGCAAATCTCACCAACCCATATTTTCCAATAGAACACATCAGAAATACATCAGCCATTAAAAGTTTAAACTAAGAAATCGTTCCTTTTTTAATAATAAGGTAATTTTGAAACTGATGGCAGCAACATATCTTTAAAATGTTGGAGCAGGGGCAACAAAAAGCTATAAAATTGCCCTATTTGGTAAAGATAAGAAACAGCTGGAGGATCATTTTAGTGAGGATGAATCTCAGAAGTAAGGGCAGAGGTTCACCAGTTGGTGAAAAACGGTCTAGAAACTGTAAAAAAAAATTGACCCTCAATGAAAAATAATTGTAAAGACTAAGTATGCCATCCTTAACAGTTCATGCTGTTCTTTCGGCTGCTTCCTTCTGAAGAGGTTGCCACAGCAAATGATTTTGCATGAAAGATTTGGCTATTATTTTATGCCATATGCCCTTACTGATGCAACTCGGGCTTGAACCCTCAGCCAGCATTATGAGGCTGCAGCCCGGACCACCAAGCTACCACAGCTCTAACGGTATCACTTCAAATTTTTATCAAAAGATTTTAGGAATCTGCATTAATCTCGGTGGCACAGTGGCTCAGTTGGTAGAACTGTTGCCTCTCAGCGAGAAGGTCGTCGGTTCAAATCCTGGCCTGGGACCTTTCTGGGTGGAGTTTGCATGTTCTCTTTGTGCATGCGTGGGTTTTTTCCAGGTACTCTGGTTTCCTCCCACAGACCAAAAACATGCATGTTAGACTGATTGATAACTCTAAATTGTCCCTAGGTGTGAGTGAGAGACTGAATGGTTGTTTGTCTCTGTGATGGACTGGAGACCTGTCCAGGGTGTACCCCGCCTCTCACACTGTGATGGCTGGATATGGACACCAGTGACCCCCGCGATCCAAAAAGGAAGAAGCAGGATAATGGATGGATGGATGGATGGATGGATGGATGGATGGATGGATGGATGGATGGATGGATGGATGGATGGATGGATGGATGGATGGATCAAATCAAAGGACAAGGCTGAAAGTCAACATTGGAGGCCTGGAATATTCAGATCCTCAGGTGGTGCTGCATCTAAAACACATATGATGTTATGGACATGACTGCATGGGCTCAGAAACACATCCACAGAACATTGTCAGTAAACTGGATAAACAAGCAGAAATCAACTCAAATTAGAAAATTAGCTAAAAAGCTGAAACTAGCTAAAAGTAGCTAAAAAGGCAAAAAGAAGCTTAAACTGCCAGAAGGAAGTAGAAGGAACTCAAATGAGCAAATGTTGCCTAGAGTTGGTGCTTGTCAAAGAATTTACTGCTTTATGTTCTTTGTTTATCAGAAGAGAGAGCTAAAAAAAAACCCAGTGGAATTAGCTGAAAAAAAAAGCGTAATTTAGCATAAAAACTGCTAATTAGCTGAAATGGCAGAAAATGCTGAAACTTGCAGAAATAAGCTGAAAGGAGTATAACAAACTGGAATTAGCAGAAAGAAGTTAGAAGAAGCACAAAAATGTTGTAATTAGCGGAAAGGATCACAAACCAGCGGAGCTGAAAGTAGCTGAAATTGTTTTTAAATTTACACAAGGAAGCTGAAAGAAGCTGAACCAGAACAAAATGTGAAAGGAGCAGTAAAAGGTTGTAAACAGATCTAAAGATGTTAAGGATGTAAAATGAGCTCAATTCATTTTTTTTATTAGAAAAAATTGGTATAAAAGGCTAAATATTTAAAAAAACTAAAGTTGCACCAATACCAAAAGTCAAAGCAGGATTGTCCTGAAAGAGCTGAACGTTTTGATTTATGAATTGTTGAATAGCACAAAAACTGTGGAACAAGAAAATGCTGAACAACGTATGGAAGAAAAATGGATCACAATAGTGTGAATGCTTCATAAACGTTCACACAATAAGAAGAGAGGCCTCGCAGCATGGAAGCATGGCCCTGTAGCAACTTCTTTTGGAACTGTAGTTTTGTATCATTAAAGTAGCAACTATGAACCAAACTGACGTTTTCATAGGAGAAAACAAAGATTTAGCCATGACAAAAAGTACAGTTCAGGGTCAAACTGATATCAAAAGAGTCCTCATAATAAAAATAAAAAAACTCATATCAAGCACCAACTTTCAAAATAAAGTATTATGCAATATTGTTCTCCTTTGTTGCCTAGAGTTGGTGCTTGTCAAAGAATTTACTGCTTTATGTTCTTTGTTTATCAGATGCTTCTCCTTCCCCTGTGAGCTTCTTCTCTCTTCTTCATCATGTCCCCCTTCAAGTAGACAATTTGACTCTTTTCATGCAAATAGTTCAAATTTCTTAACACCGACAGAGTTTTGTGTTAACTACATTGCACATGCTGATTATTTTCTAATTGCTTCGAAGGGCTTTTCTCTTGTAGAAATGCAACTTTAACCTAAGAAATATTTAAAAGAAAAAGCTTCAACATCCAAATACCATTCGACAGTAAACTATTCATAATGACGTGGGGTAAAATCTGTCTCATCATTGTGTCTAATTAAATCCCTTTTTGTGCAATTTGTAAAATAACATAAGCTACAATTAAATTTTGTAACACTTAAGTGAGATTTTTCCGTCTCTAGGGAATAATCATAAAGTAAAGCCAGAGAATTTTTCCTCTAAGACCAGCTAGTATTAATGTGCATGACTCCATTTAACTGGATTATTTGCGTGTTTGTCCACCGATTAAAAATTGTAAAATTCAGTTGCATAGGTTTTGCATAATCCTTACACAGCTGTGAGCTTAGAGGAGCAAAATTCAAGTCAAACATAAAAATGCATGTATCGTGCACAAAAAAAAAGCAACCCTGACTGCTACAAAAAATCAAAGTGGCAGAAGTTTTACAGTAAATCTTCTCTTATCTGATGTAAAAGGTTGGGGCTGCTGGTAATCAGTCCACGTGTCCAGAATTGGACAATTGCCAACTTGCACCATCAGAAGTTTGTTAAAATATAAATATATTGCACAACGTATAAAACGATCTTGCAATAATTAGCCAAATGAATAAAACAGGAGGAGTTTTGCTGATCAATATGAACCTAAGCTCCTGCGTTACGTAATATTCACTTAGTAAATATGTAAAGTAGGTCAAACTGCAGCTTCAAACACACAAATAAATGTGATTTTAAATAGTAATTTTCCTTATTTGTATCATGCATATTTTTTCCTACAGTGGCTAAAATAATCTTAGGTAAACATAAGTTAAGCATTTAAACACATTTATAAAAGAATATACCGAATGTAGACATGTTTATTAAAGTGCAATGAGTTCATTCAAGCATGGATTTATACCGTTTTGATACTGATGCGCCAAAACGCTGCATTTTTTTTAAACTAAATAATTAACCTCATATTACAATAAATTAATAAATCAATTTTAAACAAGTGCGGGTATATTATATTAGGAACATTTTACTTGCAAATTCTCTGTGAGATGTTTAATTAGATGCAAACTGCACAAGCACAATAGAGTGGTTGCAACTCAAGCATAAAATGTACTTTTAAGCTCGTGCTCGCACGTTAGAATTATTATATAAACAGAACGAGTCCAGAATGGAGAGATACACGACGTTAGTGGGAAATTGCTGCTTTTTTTGCACAGGCAGAAAGATTTCAACAGAATGACCGATGGAGGTCAGTGACGATCGTGTGGTGACACATCAAAACTAAAAAAACATAACAGGGTTTTTGTTTTTTAATTAGTGCTGTTATTCGTACTAATAAGTGCTGTTAATACATACAGGCTATTTGCAAAATACTGTGATTATAGGAGTAAAAGAATCACTTTGTGGTATAGATCTATTTTGATCGTTTACAGCTTTAATTACTCTTTCACTTCTTAACTTGGCTCAGTGGTCAGTCACACATAATCCCGAGGCCGCAGGTTTGAGCCCAGACTGTTTCAAACGGTCCATCCAGTGTAAAACTAACTCACTGAATCTTGTCTTCTTCTTTTAAAATATATATCTGTGACAGATAAATATGCATGTAACCCTGCATTCTAATATGAGACACTGACTTTCTGCATCAATGTGTTTAATTCTGCTTCATTTAGATATGCTGTAACTTTTAAAGATTTTTATTCATTTATTTTTTTTTTTTACAAATCTTTCTTTTATAACTAATAAGTGTCCAAAACCCGTAGCTCCTCCACATTGAAAGGAGCCAGTTGAGGTGGTTTGGGCATCTGGTAAGGATGCTTCCAGGGCGCCTCCTTCGAGAGGTGCTTCGGGTATGTCCGACTGGGAGGAGACCCCGGGGGAGACACTGGAGAGACTTCTCAGTTGGTCTGGGAACGCCTTGGAATCCTCCTAATAGAACTGGAAGAGGTGGCTGTGGAAAGAGATGTCTGGGCCTCTCTGCTCAAGCTGCTGCCCCCGCGACCCGACTTCAGAAGAAGTGGAAGATGATAGATGGATGGAAGTGTTCAAAAACAATTGTTTTATTTATATATTTAAGTTTATGAGGTTCATCTAATCCCAGTAGCCATACTAAGCCAAAGCATACGTGTAAGAGACTTCTTATAGCTAAGGGGTGCTATGGACAACAAATGTATTGAGGTAGCCATTGCCCCCCTCTGGTTCCTCTTTGTTGACGGCCCTGTTCTGCTGCTCTTTACAAGTCAGATGATGAACAAATCAATTACTGTAACCCCCTTTACTTTGTCAAAAAGCAACAAACGACATCAGTTCAGTTCAATCAATACTGAATGGATTCCAAATCCAAACAAGCAGAAGGAAAATGTCAATTCAGTTGTTGTTTCTGCTGGAACAGTTGCACGAGAGGCAAACTGCAGGACAACGTCTCTGATGGAGCTCTGTGAATTTCCATTATGTGGAAACGTCGGGCAGTCTGAGGAGTATCTCTCCGTTTGGCCGCGCGTCAGCACGCCAAAGTTCGCGCGCGCACACATTGGGAAACCTGAGCAAACTGTGGCGTTTTTATCTGTGGTCCGGGTCCAGTCAGAGCTGCTATAAAAGCCGCAGCTCCCTCCCAGACGGTCTGCTCAGCTCCTCAGGACTGGAGGACCACCACCCCTGAACAACCACCTCCTCCATCATGAAGCCTCTCCTCCTCGTGGCGCTGCTCGGATGCCTCGGTAAAGATCGCACTCGTTCTCCTCCTTCATTAAAGTCTGACTTGTATCAATCAAAGTACCAACCCTAGTAATAACCAGGGCATCTAATGAGTTTGCTTTTGCAGCCTCGGTGTTCGCGAGCCCCGTCGCCAAGGTGAAATGGTGCGTAAAATCCAACCAAGAATATCGGAAATGCACGGATCTTGCAGCTGCAGCTCCCGTCTTTACCTGCGTGAAAAAAGAAAGCACCCTGGAGTGCATCGTTGCAATTAAGGTACAAGAAATCCCCTTTATTTATTTTATTGTAAACAACTAAATACAGCTAATTCAGAAAGACTATGAGAGACTGCGTAATCTATAATAGTGATTATTGGTTATGTTAGTGCATTTTTGTAATTGCATGTTTAATGCAAAAAATAAAAAGTAAAATAAATTGTAAAAAAAAAATAATATAACACTTTTTGATTTTCAAATATGGCTTACATTTTGTCACTGAAAAAGGTCTATATGCTTCTCTTGTTGGCCATTATAACACTTATTTTCCATTTAACGTGCTTTATTTAGTTATTGTAGATATAAGACACCTTTTTCAAGTTATTGGAGTTAAATTGTGCATTTTCTAACAGGCAGGTGAAGCAGATGCGATCACAGTGGACGGAGGAGACGTTTACACTGCTGGACTCAACAACTATGACCTCCGCCCCATTATTGTTGAGGATTACGGTGACCAAAGTATGTTTGCAGATGACTTTATGATTCAAGCAAAGATATGGATAGATTTTCTCTTTTCAAGCCTTTTTGTCTTTTATTTCCACACATCCAGCTCCGGACACCTGCTACTACGCTGTGGCCGTGGTGAAGAAGGGAACTCAGTTTGGGATCAGAGATCTCGCAGGAAAGAAATCCTGCCACACTGGTTTGGGGAAATCTGCAGGCTGGAACATTCCCATTGGGAGACTAGTGTCCATGGGTATTATTCAGTGGGCTGGCGTAGAAGACAAACCAGTGGAGGAGGGTAGGTTTTTATTTCCTTTCATTTACAGTATTTACAATTTATATGTAGTCCTCAGGATAAAAAAAGTAGAATTTTTGATCATTTCTCTTGTTACCAGAGCAGCGACTTCCATTAAAATCATCATTTTTATTGGAAAATTTGTCGTTTGTTCTTGATCATCTGTTGTTGTTGTTTTTTTCAGTTGGAAAATGGTAATTTAGAGGATAACTTGTTGATGCTTTATAGGCTGATTTGTGCATTTTTACTTTCAATATTTTTCAAATTGTCTAGTTTAATGTCACCGATTTTATAAAGGTAGCTTTTTTGCATGCAAAGTATCTGTAGAGGTCAAATGAGTGCACAAAGACTTAGTTTCTTTCTCAAATAAACAACACACACACCTTTTGTTATACGTTACGCTCTAAACACTTTCTTGTGTTCTCACTGAACATCAGGTGGAGTGGTGGGTTCAGTGTCTTGCCAAAGGACACTTTGGCACACTGCATGGGCTTTGGACAAAGCCCCTATCTTTCACTTGAAATGCGACCTCCCTACCATTGGGCCAAAGTCCCCCCCACCCCACCTAATGACATGAGCAATCAGGGATAACCAGGCCTTTCAGCAGGATTTTATTTATTTATTTATTTTTAGACTTTTTTAAAATTTATTTTCAAGACAACAAATAAATCCATGTATTTCAGGCAGAATGGGACGGGCGGTGCTGCAGCAAAGACTGAGTGATTTTATTAGATCTTTTCTCTCACAGCGGTGGGCAGCTTCTTCCAAAGCAGCTGCGTCCCAGGAGCAGCTAAAGGCTCCAAACTGTGCAAACTCTGCTCTGGAGACTGCTCCAGGTCCCACAGCGAGCCGTACTATGACTACTCCGGAGCCTTCCAGTCAGTAAAATATTTACCTCTCTATACCTAACCTGTACACATCTGGGTTTACTCTTCCACCATTTGTTGTATTTTGATCCGAGTTGTTCCACCTTACAGGTGTCTGGCAGATGGAGCTGGGGACGTGGCTTTTGTGAAGCATTTAACTGTACCTGGTCAGTGTTATAAAGTGAAATGAGAACCCAAATATTATGTTCAGATATTAAAAAGAAAAAGAAAAGCACCCTCAATTTTTTAAATCCGATGAATTGTACAAAGCAAATCACATTTCCACGTCTAAGAAAAACCATCAGTCACATTTAAGATTCACGATCTCAGTTTTCTCTGCAACACTCTTCAGAAAACTTTTTTTTAACCTTTTTTTGGGTACAAAATGCAGTGAAGAAGTAGGATAAAATGTTTTTACTCTTCTAGATTCTGAGAAGTCCAAATATGAGCTGCTTTGCAAGGATAACACCAGAGCACCTATTGACAGCTACAAATCCTGCTCCCTGGGCAGAGTACCAGCTCACGCTGTTATCTCCCGCAAGGACCCGCAGCTTGCTGAGCTAATCTGGAACAGCATCAACGGAGTGCAGGTAAAACACAAATGTTTGCTCAATATAAAGAAAGACTGTTGACTCAGTGCTGTAAGAATCACAAAGCTGATAAGAGAGAGGGGCTTCCAGGTAATGCTTCCTAATAATGTGTTTTCAGAACTTCAACCGCTTCTCCTCTGAGGCCTACGCCCCCGCCAAGAATCTGATGTTCAAGGATTCGACCAAGAGGCTGCTTCGGCTGCCCGCAAACACAGACTCCTTCCTTTTCCTGGGCGCTGACTACATGAGTACCATCAGATCCCTAAAGAAAGGTAAAAAACAACTGGAGAAACTCACAGGATGAACGTTAAAACCAGCAGATATACTCATTCATGGCTCACGGCAGTGTTTATCTCCCCCTCCCTCCAGAGCAAACCCCAGGCGCTGCATCTCCTGCCATTAAATGGTGCGCTGTGGGCCACGCTGAAACCTCAAAGTGCGACACGTGGAGCATCAACAGCGTGACTGACGACAGCGCCTCCATCGAGTGCCAGAACGCCCCCACAGTCGACGACTGCCTGAAGATGATTATGGTAAAACCTTACATGAACATTTTATTAAAGATAACTGTGGGGAGCTTTTTTCCAAGTCCATGTGACGTCAGTTTTTCTGAGTATCCGTTGTTTCATTTTCTTGCCGCAGCGCAAAGAGGCCGATGCGATGGCAGTGGATGGAGGTCAAGTGTACACTGCTGGAAAGTGCGGTCTGGTTCCTGCCATGGTGGAGCAATACGATTCAAGTACGACGTAAATAAAAAGCATTAAAAGCTTCTTGCACTGTACAACCTCGTTGTAATGTTTGCATCTTTCTTTGTTTTTCTCCATAGATCTGTGCAGCTCCTCTAATGGTACTTACTGTTGTGTTGTTTCACACATTTAGACCAGTTCTAAAAACACACATAGCATGACTTTTGAAAAAGCATGTTCATATTTTCTTGGGTCATGAACATCTTCTCTCGTCCCGTCAGACAAATCCTCCTCTTACTTTGCCGTTGCTGTGGTGAAGAAGTCCTCAGGATTGACCTGGAGCACTCTGAAGGGAAAGAGGTCTTGCCACACTGGTGTTGGCAGAACCGCCGGCTGGAACATCCCCATGGGTCAAATCTATAAACAGACCTCAGACTGTAATTTTGGTACGTGTTGAGCTTTCATATGATAAAACAGAAACTCACCAAAGTTTACAGCCTTGCTGATTATTTATAGGATATATATTTTTATGTTTTTACAGTAATTTTAATATTCTTTTAGACAAATTGCTAATTTACATCCAAGAATACAACATAGTCCATGCATTTAAAATGAGTGTAGTCCCTTGTTTATTATTATTAATAATAATAATCATTTTATTTAAAAAGCGCCTTTCATGACACCCAAGGACACTTTACAGTAAGAACAAAGATCAACAGGAATAAATTGCATAAAGAATATAAAATACATACAGCAAAGTTAAGGATAAGTGAGTCTAAGTCCAAGTCTAAGTCTAAGTCTAAGTTATTGTGAGTGTTAGGTTCCAGACACCCATAAGTGAAAATCCACAAAGTAGCGAGGTTACATTTAGTACATTTAGTATTTATATATATTTTAAGGCTTTAGAAACCCTTCCTACACTCTTGCAATGTTCTGAACTCTTAAACCTACATCATTTTAACAACACACGAACAGTACTGTATATGTAGCTACTAAATTTTACTTACCAGATCTACAGAATAGGAGCAGCTCTCGGTTCTGGTCTGACTTGGTTCTGTTTCTGCAGACCTACCCTGCAGCAACAAAGCTCACAATCAATGTTCTAAACTCTTAAACCTACTAATTTAAACAACATACTTACATGTAGCTACTAAATTTTACGTACCAGCGCGTCCCCACTCGGAGGTCCTTGTGGGCCGATTGTAAGAGATGAAAAAAGTCCCGGTGGGCTCCGGATGGAGCGCTGGAGCTTCAGCAGCATGCGTCCCGCTCATACGTCCTTGTGGGCTGCCTACTAGTTCTCAAGATTCAACGATGGGTCTGGAGGTCTGGTTCTCCTCTGGTTCTGGCCCGGTTCAGTGGGTTCTGTGCGGCTCTCTGTGTCCTCTGGGCGCCGAAGTCACTGTAAGAAGTGCCAAACTTTTTCCGATCAGATCAAAACTTTCCCTCTAGTATTTCAGAAGAAGGAAACAGTGCTTCTGAGCGGGACCCTGTTGGCTTCTGGGAAATGTAGTCATTATGAGCAGGAATACAGTGTAGGCTTGTTGAGAGAAAACTACAAAATGGCAGCGCCGGTCCAAAGTATTTTATTTGTCCGTTAACTTTTTACTGTCCAGTTCTGTATCCAGTACTGTCCCAATCACGTGAGTAATATTAAAGTTAACAATCACGCGTCCTGTACAATTTTTTTTTCTTGTGTTCAATCTTACTTTGAAAAACCACGATAGAGTGAGTCCGCCAAAGTCGAACCGCAAAGTAGCGAGGGATTACTGTAACACTTTACGCACGTGTGCGTTGCTTCAATCCAAATTTCCATTTGCGTGTCTGTGGGTTGGCTCAGTTTGACAGCGTCTCTTCTCCTTCTCAGCTAATTTCTTCAGCAGTGGCTGCGCGCCCGGGTCCGAGCCCAACACTCCGTTCTGCCAGCAGTGTAAGGGCAGCGGCAAAGCCGTGGGAGACGAGGCCAAATGCAAAGCCAGTGCTGACGAGCTTTACTACGGTTACGCTGGAGCCCTCAGGTACGATAAGGAGCTGCAGTTTTCTCTGTAAACAAGTTTTTCATGTCAGATCTGTCAGATTTGTTCACACAGAAAGCTCAACTGCTGTATCGCTGTTCTGATTGAACTCCTGGGAGTCTTGTTTTTCACAAAGTGTTGACTTTCTGTGACGTGTTATTTCAGATGTCTGTTAGAGGATGCTGGGGACGTTGCCTTTGTTAAACACTCTACGGTGCTCAGCAGCAGCGAAGGTAAAGGGGGGACGCTGACTTGTCTTTGCATCATCTGTGTGCAGTGTTGTTTTCTTGTAAAACTGAAACTCTGTCCCATTTTTTTACACTTCTCTGTCTATCAGTGGACAACCTCCGGCTAATCTGCCCGGGGCAAGCTAACTCAGTGCCAGCCACTGATTATGAACAGTGTAACCTGGCTAAGGTGCCTGCACACGCTGTTGTGACTCGCCCAGAGATCCGTAACGAGGTGGTCCGAATCCTCCTGGACCAGCAGGTCAGCTGTGATATTTAAGGTCTATTTTAGGTTTTGTCTAGTTGTACAGATCTAATAATCATTTTATCTCTCATTATCAGCTTTTTTTTAAATGAAAGTTGAAAGTTTTTTATTTATTTTTCTAATAAAATCAAACTAGCCCTCGCTTAGGCCCTGTTCACACCTTGCACTTTATATCCACTTTTGCAAGTGGTCAGCTCCAGTTAATGGCCTTCCCACCTTTGCATTTATTTATTTGTACTAATCACAGCCAACAACAAACAGGACATCAGCAGGTCTGCTGATGTTTCTGTAAAACTGACAATACGTTCAGATGCCTGACCTCATTAATACATTTTAGGACCATAGAAGGATATTTTGTATAGCTGTCGCTTAATAAACTCAATTAGCTAACGGATGTGAGATATGAGAGACATTTAATGCAATTACTGGTGACTATTCACATCACGTGGTAAATGAGGTGTAACAAAATTGTGTACTCAAGGCCCCAGTTACACCCAAAAAATAGCAAAAATATAAAGTATAAAAAAAGAAACAGTATACAACATACCTGTCAAACGCAAGGCCCGGGGGACAAAAATGGCTCTTGTTACCAAATTATCTGTAACCCCAAGATATTTTTGAAGTTAAACACTTTTATTTCTTCTCGTTTTACTTTAAAACTGAGCATATACTTTATTTAGTGCAGACTTCTCATGAAAGTTGGCTAACTTTGAAGCCAAGAAAAAGTAGTTGGACTTTTTCCATAATCTCTAACAATAATAATATAATATAAATAAGATCTATTAAACAGCAGCCTGAACATGAGTTTGTTGTGAGCAGATGGGTATGAATACAGCAGCATATTTGACTGTAGTGTCAAAGTAAAGAATGAATATATTAACCTGTAAAAACTCACCACAGTGAAACTGTGCTCTGCAGTCGGGAAGTGTTTTACACACCTTGACTATGAATTTAACTTCAGGGCTGTGTTCCGTTAGGTGAATATTATGGAATATATTGCTGCTCGGACCTCTGTCCTGTGATTGTCACACCACATTATAGCTTGTAGTGGCCACATTGGGTTCAATCAGCGCCAAAAACATCAGGAACAAACAATCTAAAGAGAAACTCACCACACTGGTAATCCACTCTGATGAATAAAATACTTACAAAACACACATTTTAATAAAAATGATTCCGATAAACAATTCATTAAAACCTTTAGAACTAAACAAACAAAAAAATCTTCAGAAAATTCACAAGGATGACTGTTGGGTTAACCCCAACACCCCAAGATGTCCTGGTAACAACTCTGCTGCTTGTGTGGGGGAGGAGGTCCTACATCTGACCTACACAAGGTAAGGTCAGTGAACAAGGCCAGGCTGATTCTGGCAGATCCTGATCATCTGTGTGCCTACTTGACTGTGAAATAAATTGCCCCTCGGGGATAATAAAGATTCTTGAACTTGAACATCAAAGATCAGGACACATTGTGTTCAAATGACCAACATTTACACAGAAAAAAAGAGATGCAGACTGTGGTGGAGCGAAAACATTTTCATTGTGTTTAGTGCCATCCAATGGCAATCTGAAGGCTCAGGTTGGAATTTAATGACAAGTCTGAACCGGGCCTTTGAGGTGTCAAACATGGCTGTTTTAAAACTTTTTCTTTATATAAATAGCAGAAATGCAAATATCTAAAGAGCTATGTCGAGAGGATGGCTTATTAAATATTTAGCGTTTACGCTGATGCACATTTGAAATGTTGAATGTTCAGGCTGATATTTAATATTTAGTATACTGTTTAATATACCATATTATTTTACATTATTAGTGTTTAGCATATATCTTAGATCCTTGTATACTGTTTCTTTTTTTATACTTGATAGTTTTGCTTTTTTTTGGGGGGGAGGAACTGGTATCTTGAGTACACAATTTTGTTCCACCTCATGTACCACATGTGATGTGAATGACAATAAAGAACCTTGAACCTTGAAAAATCAATAACCAAAATAATTTTCTGACAGTTTGTTAACTGCCTAAAGTAATTTTATTACTTTTGTCTGTTTAAGTTTTATTCTAAACTGAATATTTTTTAGGGAGGGGAAGTTTCTGACATATTGGTTTTGCTCTTCCTATCCAGACCAAGTTTGGAACCAGTGAAAGTGATCCCACGTTCAGACTGTTCCACTCTGAAAATGGAAATAACCTCCTCTTCAAGGACTCCACCAAATGTCTCCAGGAGGTTTCAGCTGCAACAACGTATCAACAGTTTTTGGGAAATGAATTCATGGTTGCCATGTCCTCACTCAGACACTGCAGTGATACAACACCAGGTGTGTGCTATACCATCAGGACAACTTATTGTTAAGAAATGTGTTTTCTTGTCTCAGTCAAATGCACAAAAAACATAAAAACAGTTTCTTTTCTGCATTATTATTATTTTTTTTTTCTTTCCCCAGATTTGGAGAGATCTTGCACTTTCCATTCCTGTCAGGAACAATAAACGGAGGTTCCTCAGTCAGCTCAGCCATCTTTACTCTCACTTTTCTACACTCGAGACCTTAATCACTTTTAGGTTGAATCAAAATGATCTAGGCCTGCTTTTCTTTTTTTTTTTTACACTTAACACAGAGATACAAAAAATTGTCAAATCAATAATCTCATATTTTAATGCCAAAAGAATGTTACATTTCATTTGTTGTAAGATCAAATTTGTTTTGTTAACAACTGCCTGACTTTTCTCAAATAAAGAATTTTTAATGCACTTTTGTGTGATTATTGTTTCTTTTTCATTGATAGTTTATTTGACATATCTTTTCTCTCCTAGCTTAACAAGCCAAAAATTAGACAAATTTACAAACCACTAAACAAACAGGGATTATGTGTAAAATGTAAGAAAAAAAAAAACAAATTCAACAAAATGTAAATGACTTAATTCTTTAAAAGAAACGTTTGAATGTAATCTTGACCAAATGGGCATGCACTGTATGAAAAATAATGAAAAGACATGTTAGGATCTTTGTAACGCTCTCATGTGTCAGAATACACAGATGAACATTCCCTGCAGACCACGTGTCAAACTGATGGCCCGGGGACCAAATATGGCCCTTGTTGACATATTTTCAGACCCCCAAGATGATATGTTAAACGAAAAATACATTTATCACTTGAATTTTTTCAGTAAGCTTTGATTATGATGTCAAAAGTGCAACAGAGAACGTCAAATGAGACCAATCAAACTGTTGCTGAGTCAGAGAGAGTCAGAGTTTCTTTATTAGTCATTCGCACCACATGTGATACATGTGGAACGAGATTGTGTATGCAGGGTCCCAGTTACATCCCACAATAAAATGTAAAAGAAAAACAGTAATAAGATTTAAGATATGAACTAAGAAAAACATAAACTAAAAATACACTAAGCACTAGTAGCATAAAAACAATATGCCAAACAGCAGCACGAAGATGAACGGGGCAAAAAGTGTGTGTGCTGGGTGAGTGGGGTCCTTCATGATGCAGGTGGCCCTCTTCCTGCATCTAGAGGTGTAGATGTTTGTGATGGTGGGGAGACTGACTCCAACAGACTTCTGTGCAGCCTTCACCACTCTCTGCAACACTTTTCTTTCTGCAACTGTGCAGCCTCCATGCCACACGTTGATGCTGGAGCACAGGATGCTCTCCACTACACACCTGTAGAAGGAGGTGAGGACTGAGCTTCCCAGTCCATCTCGTCTCATCCGCCTGAGGAAGTGGAGTCTCTGGTGAGCTTTCTTGATCAGGCTGGTGGTGTTGTTGCTCCAGCTGAGGTTGTCATTCAGGTGTACACCCAAGTACTTGTAGCTGGAGACCACTTCCACTGTTGTTTGTTCCTTCAGAAGTCCACAACCATCTCCTTGGTCTTCTTCACAATGATGTGAAGGTTGTTCTCTTTGCAGCAGCTCTCCAGGTGTTCCACCTCCTGTCTGTAGCTGGACTCATCATTGTTTGTGATGCATTGAGGAACCTGCGACCAAGAAATATGTTGGGTTTTGAGTTAATGTAAATTCTGAAAATGGCCCTTAGTTTGAAAAAGATTTTAATTTTGGCCCCGTTTGTAAGTGAGTTTGACACACCCTTCAACACTCAAACAAACGTGAGTTCAGCTCTTCTGATTTATGTTGACACATTTATGCGAAAGATGGAACTTTTATTCACTCATAACAAGAGTGTGCTAAATTTACATATTGTTTAAAGTTATTCTTGATGGGCTAAAAAGAGTAAATACAGATAATACTAATGACTTACACAAAGCTATTAATTTTTGATATTTTGGTCCATTGTTCTAACTGCAAGTCATGCTAAACGTGCCAGAATGAAGCAGGAAGATAAGAATTGGGTGAATGGACATATTGACCAATTCTATGTTTTTATTCTTGAATAAGGCGGTTTTAGTTTTCTGCAGTTCTGGGTTTTGGTTGGAAATTTGACTTTATAGGTAGTTATAAACTTTTAAGACAGAAAAGAACAAAAATATGAACCTAGAATATGTTTTTAATTGTCACATTTGTCTATTAATCATCATTTTATGTGTCATTCCATAGCTTTTACATGAAATAAAACCCATTTTAACATAAGCAGTAATTCCTATTCATAGTTTTATGTTATGAAGTTCTCAACTCAAGATGGTATAAGAGCCTTATAAAGAGCGTTATAGCTCGAGTCTTGTTATGTCACCCCTGTCCAAACTGAAATGTAAACGTAGAGCTGTCGCTTCTGAGCAAGAAGGTTGCTGGATTGAATCCTGGCTGGGGACCTTTCAGCGTGGAGTTTGCATGTTTTCTCAGTGCGTGCACAGGTTTTCTATGGTTACTCCAGTTTCCTTCCACTGACCATGAAAAAAAAATGTGTGTATATATATATACAAACTGGTAACTAAATTGTCCCTAGGTGTGAGTGAGAGTGTCTCATTTGTCTCTATGTGTCTGTGATGGACTTGTGAACAGGGTGTCCCCCGCCTCTCACACAGTGACTGCTGGACATGGGCACCAGTGACCCCTGTGACCCAGAAGGAAAAGGTGGGTAAAAATATTCAACGGATGGATGTTATATTGTATAGACCCTAAAATTATTATATCAATCCGATAATTATTGTATACCTGACAACGCTGAGGCCTGATCACATCTGTGGACACGCCTTGATTACAAAACAACTAAAAACAATTTATCATTATATCTAAAAGATCTGTGTAATACTAAATCATTAGATAATAAATCATACTTTTGAGATAGTATTTCGTAATTATGACTTGATTATATTTTATTAGTTTAGAGTGGCAGAAATGAGGTTATGTACTTCAGATGTCGGTCGGTTTATGTTTCTGCAAACATATCAATATTTTGATTATTCTGAGGATAATTTTATTGGTAATTTTATTCCTTATTGCCGTGACCGTCTCGTGTGTCGTTTTTGTAATCTACAATTTTAATTTTATTTTATTTTATTTGGGGACATTCATGATCTAAGCTATGATTTTGTGCAGTTTTCTTCTCTGTGACTCATTTGATTAATCGTTTTATAAAAACAAACATAAAGAGGATAAAAAAAAATAAAGGCTCAATGAGTTACAAGACATCACCTTGTGGTTTATTTCTTTTTTACTTTCAGCCTAGGTTGAGTTTATCAAGCTGTCATGGAGATAAATTTCCATTTTTAGCCCTCTCGGACTTACAGTATACTTTAGACTTAAACATGATTCATTTGTTTGTCTGTAGAGTCAAACTCCTGTATCACGTGACAAAGGCACCGGCATCAATTTGTCATTTCCCTGAAGTCACCCACGCGGCTTGGAGGCGCACCGGCTCCACACGCAGCAGAAACAGCGCACTATGGCCTGTCTTTGAGCCTCCTCATACGAAACTAGTGCACACACTAAACCGGCAATCCGTCACCATCGACGCCTTGATCATGGACCTGTGGTCCAGAGGGTTATTCGGGGGACATCGAAGAGGTCAATAGTACTTCTGAAGATTATATTATCAGTTTTTGAGCGCTGTCATTTTTTTTGGACGTCCTGGGATTTGAAGCACTCCCATCTACCGGTTAGCAACTAAGAAGGGCATCACTCGTCTGTTGAAGTAAAGGACAAGAAAACTACAGATTTTTTAAAACCGAGGACCGATCAGAGACCGATACCTCTATCCGACAACACTGTCACTGTTGGTAACTGGTAAGAAATGAACTTTGGGCGGTGTTGCTAGCTTAAAGTACACCGAGCAGGGCTTGAGTAATGTCGAAGGCATGCAGGCTGAGTAGGCCCTGCCGCTTGTCAGTTCACACACCACATGACAAGCAAGCTAATTCGTTTTTAGAAAACAAACAGAACAAAATAGAACATGTTTATTGCAGGAGTTTGACGTTTCTTCGTCGGCTATTTGAACTTTAGGCCCCTTTTCGCGCTTCCTGGTCGAAGTTATCTTCACGTTAGCTCAAATGACAGCTGGTAGCTAATCTTCGCCGGTGTTGTGTCGAAAAAGGCACCCCTGCTGGTCATCGTTGTCACTACTAGTAGTTCGCGCTGATGTTCACGTTTTCTTAGTGTAAAAGCAGGTTTCCTTGTGGAGACAGTACCCTGATGATGGTAGTATGGTCTGAACTTGTTTGTATGTTCAATGTATCTGCTCATAGCTTGATCAAATGTCGGTTTTTATGTTTTTGTGTGTAGCCTGTCTGGCCCGTATTGTAACATCACGGATTAGAGCTAAACCGCTGGCTAATGTTAATCGACAATGGCTTTACCTTAACTTAAACGGTCTGAAATGTGTAACACTTGAGTCAGGGCGGGTTTAGTTGCTGTTCTCATGTGTTTTGGTGCAACTATTTGGTCTCTCGGATATTATGGTGAATAGAATGTACGTTAAAGTTAAATATGAACTAAGCCACGTAGCGTAACTGCAGATCATGCCCGTAGTAGCGGACCACGTAACATTAGCTGGCTAGCATTTTATAAGCGGCCACGCTAGCGGGCCATTAAAAAAATAGTGTATCGCTTCCTGGCTAAGACTTAAAAATAGTTTAGTTGAGTGCTTATCAATTGTATTTATGGTTCACAAAGCCTGTTATCTTCTTTGTAGTGGAACTAGATGGAATCCTTGTGCGTTAAAAGCACAGAAGCATGGTGTTGGCTAACAGCTAGCTATAGTTCATGTGTCAGCAGGTGCTATTTTGTCACGTTTGCGAATGGTACTAGCGTTTATACTCTGATTTTAATTAGTTTAACATATCATGGCTATCTAAAATTGCCTAAATTAATGATAAAATGAGTATTTAGTCTCTACGATTAAAGTAACTGGTAGGTTTTCCGTAAATACTTATTTGAACAGCCTATTTGCACAGATGGAACTAGCACAACAAGTCTCTGTTAACGCAGCAAATGAACTTTGACCCGAGGTATCCATTTTCTTAAACTTATTGAAAACCAAAACGATTCAAACAGTTGGAAATTTTTGTTTTGCTTTTTTAAGCCTTTACTGACCCATATGCTTGCCTTTATGTCAGCCTATCATTTTCGAGGTGATTCTCGTATTTATTAAGTGTCAGACTACTTATCACTTAATTTTCATTGTGATGGACCTAGTACAAGGCTTTTACAGTTTGATTTACGAAATTCAGGACACTTAATAGTTTTTCAGACTTTATGCATTAAATATGCTGTTCCTAAGTGAGGGTGGTGGTGGCTTTATCTTAGGCAAAACCTCAGACCACACCCTCACTGCTACATTAGATGGTGCCACACTTCATGTGTGTTTGTACAGCAATGTTTCTACCTAGTATGGGCAAAATTATATTTGAGCTAGATTTGTGGTACCTGCTTGCAATACTTTGTTACAATTTATTTTTTTCTAGTTTAACATGCAATTGTTTGTAAATGTGGCATTTCTTTTTCTTGTCCTTCTCAGAACGGCTGGCAACACACCGCCACCCTAATGCAGACCCACAAAAGAACGTGAAATGAACAAACCACCACAACCTATAACGGGACCTACTACTGTCCCAAACCCATCTCCCTCCCCTGGACTGACACAGGTGAGATCATTGCCAGGTAGTTATAATGTTTTTGTAGTTTTTATGCGTGTGTGTATTAAATTAATATTCTTGTTCTCTTTTCTTTCAAGGCTGCTTACGGGCCTGCGCAGCCACCTTCTCTTGTTTTTGCAACCCCTCCACCTCCACAAATGAGCTCTGCCCAACAGCCAAGACAGGTAGTCTTTGGCTACATGCTTTTTCTGCATCTTTGATTAAGTTTTGCATTTAGCATCTTTATATGTGTTATCTATGAAAACCCTATTCGTTTCCTGCTCTTTCACTTGGCATTTTGACATGGCTTCTTCTGCTGTAATGCTTTGGTTAAAATGTGTTAAAACGTCCGTCTTCTCCTCAAATGTCAGCCTTGACTTCTTTCCTCTCTTCTGCTGTCCTCCCAGTTTGCTACAGGGCCCCGTACATTACATCAACAGGTACTAACTTTCTTCACTTTTACTTACATCCCCTAATAATTTTTGTAATGCACATTTTCACATTCACTGGATAGGAAATCAGACAGAATCCTGTAAATTTTGTATATAGCTTTTAACTTTTCCAGAAGGCCACATCATTCTCAAAATTTATTTTTTGACAATCTTTTTTATTTAATGTTCATGATAATGTGTAACAGATGTTTTATTTTGCTCTGCACTGAGTCAATGAGAGTAAAATTTCCAATTTATAATTTTGGAGTGCCATTTAAGTCAATTTTGGCACACTTAATGTTCTATGTCAGCTGTGTTTTTTTTTTTTTTTTTCAATTCACACCAATATGCCTAGTTAGTAAATGTAGTCTTTCTGTTTAAAAAAAAAGTCCACAAAACAACTAAAATAGAATATATCTGGAAACCTGAAATTGTCTAATAGTTGTGCTGATTTCCATGTTTGTCTCTAAACAAAGTCAGTTTGACTCATGACAAATTATGGATGGCTTTTCTTAAGACTCAAAACTATCCAATTATTAAAAAAAAATGGATTGGATGGTGTGAAATAGCACAGTTTTCCAGTCAGTTTGTAATCCATTTGTATGTCTTTTTTAAAGCCAGTATTACAAGGTAAAATCCTGACAAGTGTTGCACAGAATTCACTTTTTCTTCACTGTGATTTGTGGGTTGTAGCAAAGGTGTCATTGTGGAGACAGACATCTGCTTAAAAACTAATTGGGAAGTGTAATAACTCAGTTGTATAATACTAAATTGTATTAACTCAAAACCCATTATTATTAAGAGTTTTGTAAGGAATTGTAATTCTTTTTTTCCTTGTGGCTTGGATCATTCTGATCAATGTTCCCTTGTCATCTTTCTCTCAGCCTATTGGCATCTAAACCAGGAAATGAGTGTTGGCTCCGTTGACATAAAATCTATTAACATCGCACTTCTCTACAGGGTCTGCAGTGTTTTGTTTGTGGTTTTAAATATGATTATTCTGAAAGAATTGGATTAGTTTCTGATTTTACAGTCATCCTGATTGGTGCATCCAAGCTGCAGCTTGTGAGGTCTTACCAGATTGAAGCTGTATGACTGAGTTTTAAAATGATTCACGTGAAATATTCCTGCAATACAACTAAAAATTAGAATTTATCAGGTGGAATAGAGATATGCCGTGAGTTGGCGTTTTGAGACATCATGTTAAAAAATTAAGGATGGGAAATGTTTACCACCCCACAATGCCCCATCACAAAGTTCTATGTAATTTCAATAGTTTTACCTCTTTAAAGGGCGATGTACCTCCCCAAGATCTGTCTCTGTTTAGCCTCTGGTTCCTGGTGTCCAAAAGGAGGCAGTAGAGTAGGGGCCTGCCAGAACAACGTTGCTACGAAGCACAATGCAAATAAACCTTCAAAGGTGTCGTCCTAAAGTGGGATAAGAAAGAGATTTTGGTACCTGTAATTTTTATCAGTATCTACACACACAATTTTTAAAAAAGAATTTGTAACCCCTTACAAATGGGATTTAAATGACGGGGTAGGATTTTATGTTCATGTATTTTTGTATAGAATGGCATGCGCATTGATGGTTGAACCGTTCGCAGCTGCGAGATACGCTCTTGCTTCTCACAAATCTTTTCTCTATTACACCTTATAATCTCAACCTTTCTCATTGTCTGTAGTCCTCATTTTCACCTTAATCTCACTCCCTCTCTTGCTCTCTGCTCATGTGTTGTGCGGCTGAAGGGTGGATACAGAGCAATACAGGTAACCGCTTTTCTCTTCGCTCCACCTCCTCTTAATTTGGGCTATTCTGAGTTTGGTAGAAATACATGACCTGTACAATGTAGATTCTGTCTTGACGGCAATTAAACTTGATGTAAATGTTAGCATCTGCTATAAGTTCATTGCTTCCAGTGGATAAGTGTGTGTGTGACTGGACGCACATGCACGCAAATGAGCTCTAACCTTTCCTGACCAGGGTTCGGTCTGCAGTAGTTGAGGCCGTAAACGTAAACAGAGCAACAAGTTTGCTTCTGTTGTTCTGCATTTCTCATATCTTCTATTCTTTTATTTGTTTTCTGTCCAGAGTTACTATCAGAATCGACCCGCAATGACCACCAGTGCTCCAAGGGTACCTACAAGTAGTGGGCCTCGACCTGTTGGACCTACGCATATCTACCCATCCAGCTCCCAGATGATGATGATCCCACAGCAGCAGCTGCAATTTGCCGGCTCTCCTCAGAGCTATTTTATCCCACCTGGACAGGTTGGCTCAAGTTAATAGTTTTTGTTCACACACATTAACATTCAGCTCTGTAACCTGTTCACATAAGAGTTGATGCTCATCAAACTACCACGGGATTTAAAATAATAATGTTTTTTGCAAAGGAAGGTGTTCACAACAACAGATGTAGCATCATGTCACATTTAAGTTCTGGGAATTTTTATACTAACATAAGGGTCTTAGGCTTTTCCAAACAAGTTGGTGGTGTTTAGAAAATGTATATACGGTAGATTCCTTCTTTGGCCCCAGAGTTTTCATTATTCGATAGCCAAATACTCTTTACTTTATCTTTTTTTACCTTAAGGAAAAAAAAAAGAAAAATCTAAAATGTCCTTCAGTGAAACTAAATGAGGCTATATTGTTTTGCCACTGCAAAGCATTATTTACTAAATATGCTGATGTGAAATTTGAAAAATGTCTAAAGATAGAGAAACTTGTTCTGGCTTTTTGATGCCCTGCTTACACAAGAGCGATTTCTGGAAAAGTTAGTTTTTTTCAATGTTGTGGCAAATTAATAAATAGATAAAAACAAACAAAACAAAAAAAGCGTTGACATTGGGCTGATGTAGTTTCCTTGCCAGTCTGCGTTGCCTGATCGGAAACAGAACTATAGGGAAGATCAAGTTTGTAAACATAAGTGCTCATTTTCGCTCATGTGCAGTTTGCAGGATGGCAGAAAGCAAACAGCCAACAATGAATGAGACATTAAAGTAGAGAATCAAACCATAATTAGCTGCTGTATATTTATCAGACTATGCTATAAAGCTTATCCCCGAGCCAAACATTAACAACAATGTTGTTTAGGAGGATCTGATTGAATTTCCATGTCTGTTCACCAGTCACTGAAGGGTTACAAGTCACTTATAATATAGCGGATAATAAAATATACCGGTAATCATAATTTCATGAGTCTCTCTCTTTTTAACCCCCCCCCACACACACACACACACACATACACGCACACAGACATGCACACATATTTTGAACAAATCTGGACCATCATAAACTTGGGAAATCATAGTTTCCTGTAAATTGGTCAGATTGCTAAGAGTCGGGTCTATTTTCTGTTGTGTTCTTTGCTCTTCAGCGAAAACAGGTTACACTTTCTGAAACAGTTGGTTTTTTTTTCAGTACTGGTTAGGATCAGCATGTGTCCAGTATAACATGAGCTATTCCTCCACATAGGCAACAGATCACAGAATTTCATCTGCCTCATAATCAAGAATCTAATTTGATGGGAAATGAACACTACAGACACGGTCCTCATTCAGAATCCAGCCCTTTCTGTTATTTGCTGTGAGACACTCTTTCCCTCCATCTGGGTCATTTTTACTCTGTATTTGGCGCCATGAAATTCTGCTAGCCATTTCCCACCTAACTGTTCATCCAACCACAATGTAGGATTAAACGATTATCATTTAAATTTGTGAAGAAGCAAGTGATGTATAAAATTAACAGCGCAAGTTGTTTTTCTGCCAGCCAGCGATGATTTGAATTGGGCATTTACGATTGCGATGCCACGTTGATCATCCTTATTGTACAGTTGTTCTAAAAAAATATTTAGACCCCAACTGTCATGTGTGCTGAGTGAGGTGCACTTTTGGGGTAGAGAGGTTATGAGATGAAGCTTGTGCTGTGCATTTGTACAGAAAATTGAGGAGGTCTAAAAAGTGGTAATTATCATTTATCTGGCAACACTGATGTCAGGATCATTGTAAGCATGCATATATGGTTTATTATAGGTTTGTCAGGCATTAACCTGGAGTTCTCATTTGTTTCTTTTGTATTTTTGCTTCTGCAGTACCGCACCCCATACATGACTCCTACCCAGCAGTATCCTGTGTCCAGCGGTACAAGTTTCTACCCAGGAACTAGTCCTGCTGAATACCCCGGTTATGGTAAGGGCTTCAACCTGAGACGAGCAACAATCAAGCACAACAACAAACAAACTATTTTACAATTGCCAAAAAAAAAACAATTTGCAAGTTTGACCTCTTGAGTCAAAGCCAAATTTGTGTCACTGTTGGATATGTTCTGGTTTTGCTTGATTGTTCATCTATGTGTAATTATCTTTTGTATCAAAACACTGCTGTAAATGTTGAAGTGCCAGTTGCATGTACGCTGGCTTGATTCTGCTTTGTCTGTGTTCTTTCTCTCTGCAGTCACATGACACACTGCCTTCTAGGTTCCATGAAATGACTTGAGACCATCTGTCTGATGGGTCTTTATTCCTTAATATATTTGAGTTGGCTCTAAAAGCAGGAATCTCATTTGACTATTAGTGAATTGTTGTTTTGTAATTAAACTGTACTGCACTTTCTAAATGAGAAAAGGCTTTAAAAAAACTTCCATTCTACTCTTAGTTATTGTGTGTTTTTAAACTGCAGGAACCCATTTATAGGCATTATGACTACACCCAGTAAATGTAGAGTTTATTGTAGTCCCCATTATTATTCCTACAAGAAAAACCGTTTGATTGCAGTTTTATAAAACTCTTTCCTCCTTTTTTTAAAGTAAAACCTTTATCATCATATGGGAAACGTTTAATATATTTTGAACAGGGATTAAACTAGTGAATGGTAAAACGTGACTACTTTTGAAAAACTGACCTTTAATAAGGCGGCACAAACACTCTAAGCACTGATAAACCATTTCCCATTATAAACAACCATCCATCCATTATCTTTTACCCGCTTCTTCCATTTTGGGTCACGGGGGTCACCGGTGCCCATGTCCAGCAATCACTGTGCGAGGGGCGGGGTACACCCTGGACAGGTCGCAAGTCCATCACAGGGACACATAGAGACAAACAAGACAAACAACCATTCACTCTCTCACTCACACCTAGGGACAATTTAAAGTTACCAATCAGCCTAACATGCATGTTTTTGGTCTGTGTGAGGAAACCGGAGTACCCGGAGAAAACCCACGCATGCACAGAGAGAACACGAAAACTCCACCCAGAAAGGCCCCTGGACCGGGATTTGAATCAGGCACCTGCTCACCGAGAGGCAGCAGCTCTACCAGTTGCGCCACCGTGCTGCCCCATTATAAACAATCTTTCCTAAACTTGAGTTCTAAAAATCATAAACAAAATGGGGAATAAAGAGCAACAAAGTACAAAGTTTGCTCAACTAATATGATTCATGTTAATAAACAAAATGGTATGTTAATTGTTGCTTGCATTACTTAGGTGTTTTTTTTTTTAATTTTTTATCCAATGCCACTGTGACCATAAAAAATGGGGTCTTCACTGAGCTCCCTGGTCTTATTAATGATAAAACTCTATAAAGTGACTATTAATGTATATGCTTTGAGTTTTAGCCTTTGCTCCCACATGAGTGCAAGATGGTTGTCATCTAGTACTGTAATAAAAAAGCCTGCATCTGTATTTAGTTATAAAAAGCTGTAACCAGGATAAATAGGAGAAAAATACAGTGAAGCTGAAGTTCGTTTCATGGGACCTTCTTAACACCCTGCTTCCTGTAGATCCTCTCATTAACTCATTCTGCATCTGTCTTTTCCTGCCCTTTCTCCTTCTTTCCTCCTCCCGTCCCTCACCCCCCTCCTCTTCCTTGCTGCGTTCAGAGCCCTCTCTTGCTGCGAGGGAGAGGCGGGGTGGTGGGGGGAGAGGGGGCGGGCGAGAGAACGGTCGTCTCTCTCTCCACGGTGCTCCTCTCGCCTCCCAGCGCTACCCCGGTGAGTAGTGTGTGTGCTTGTGTTCAGCTAGCGTCAGTGGCAACAATCTTTGTGGCACTTCCTGTCTACTTACATCCTACATTTGTTCTTTTTCTAACTGTAACATTTGTGCAATTTTCCATCTAGATGGTTTAAATTGTGTAGCTCATATCTAACGATGGATGCCGGTTGTAGTGTGATTAAAAAAAAAAAAAAAACGAGAAAGAAATGCTTTAGAATTATAGTAAATATTAGGGGTGTAACAACACATTTATTTTAATATGAACAAGGACAAGGCAACAAACACGATGGGGACAGCTAATCAATCAATTCTTAGGAACGTGCTTTCACTTGTTTTGCTTGTTTTTGCTAGTTGCCACAACAGAAAAGCAGTAAAGAAATATATTTACTATGTGATTAGTTTCAGCTATCTTTACATGATGATGCAAATGTCATGTATGCATATAGCCCAGAGCAGGTAGGGTGCACGCAGACTGTGCCCAAGTTCATCACTGGTTGCTGGGAAACCGAACTATACTTGTTTTTCTTAGCCGCAGCATTCGTGCTTAAAACTGTCCATTCTTTTGTTATCTGCCACTTGTCAGGTCGTGGGGCCTGCAACTTGAGCAGGAAGGCTCAGACATCTCTTTTCACAGCCACCTCTTCCAGCTCTTCTGGGAGCATTCCAAAATGTTCCCAGGCCAGTCAAGAGACACAGTCTCCCCAGCTTGTCCTGGGTCTTCCCAGGGGTCTCCTCCCACTTGCCCAGAAAACTTCCCTAGGGAGGAGCCTAGGAAGCATCCTTACCAGATGCCCAAACCATCTCAACATTTTCCTGTTGATGTGGAGGAGCAGCAGTTCTACTATGATTATCTCCTGGAAAACTGAACTTCTCACGCAATCTTAAGAAAGTCCAGCTACCCTGTGGAGAAAACTTGAGCACGTTTATCTGCAATCTTTTTTTTTTTGGTCAGTACCCAGAGTTTGTGAGCATAGGTGGGGGTAGGAACGTAGACTAACTAGTAATCAGTGACTGCTGCCATGCAGCTAAGCTCCTTCTTCACCACAACAGGCCGGCACAGAGTACGCAATATTGCAGAAGCCACACCAATCCGTTCGGCCATCTTGCACTGAATTTTTTCTTTACTCAAGAAAAATACTTAGATGTTTTAAACTCCTTCACTTGAGACAGTACCTCACTCCCAACCTAGAGAGCAGTCCACCCTTTCCTGACTAAAGAATATGACCTCAGATTTTGAGCTGCTTCACACTCTGCTGCAAACTGCTCTAGTGAGAGCTGGAGATCATGGTAAGGTGACGCCAACAGGTCCAGTCATGTGCAAATGACTAAAACATAATCCTGAGGTCAGCCAGGTTATGGATGAATGGACCAACCCCAAAGCCCCCTGAGTCAGCTTCCTTTATGGAAAACGTTGTTGAATTGAGAAGGTTTTCAAAGTATTCTTTCACCACCCAAAAGTATCATTGACTGAGGTCAACTGCACCCCACCTTACTACACACAGCGTTGATAAGAGAAAAAGTTGAGAGGTGCATTCTCTTTGTCAGCGCAGCCATGGAGACCCACTGGTGTCTCCACACTGTGTTGCATGCACAAAATTGTCCAATTTCCTTCCGTGAGTTCTTTATAAATTTTATTTGACTATCATCATTTTAGCTGGAACTGTTGTGATAATGGATGCATTTTATAATGGCCTCAGCTAGCAGCTCCTCAACAAATGCTGCTGTCGGAGAGCAGCTGACTGCAGCTACTTTTCATAAAAACTCTCACAAAGTTCTTTACAACCAGGTGGAGAGTAGTTGACATCTCAGCTCCTATCTTCATCCAAGTCCAAAGCATGACTATCATCAGTCTGCGGCCAAGGGGGTCCTGGTGCCATGCTCACTTATAGACACCCTTATGTTTGATGTTAACTGCTGGCATTTGTCAACCGGGCTGGGGGGGAAGGGGGATAGAAGCAGAGTGCTATGTTAGTAGCATTTTTGCTAGCACGTCTATTGCGCACTGCTGGGGCTAGGTTCTGTTGACGGGGCGGGACGCCCTTCTTGGATAACGATAGGGGAAACACTCAGTTCAGATCACAGAGGCTGTTCCTCCCAATCATGCCCCTCCAGGTAACACTGTTGTTACCCATGGGCACAGAAGTTCCCCAGCAGAATGAGGAGTTCCCTAGCTGGGGCATCTACTAGTACCCCTACTATAGACTTCAAGAAGTTCTGGGTACTCTGAACATTCATTCTACACATACTGTGTGTAGGACAAACGTATTCATATGCTCAGGTTTAGAAGTTTGTACTTGTCAACATCCTCACCACACACCTCTGATATGCTGTTGTTGGGTCTGTAAATGTGATGCGAGTTTTGTATGTGTGCAAGCAAATACAGAAGACTAGACTTAGAAAATTGTTTCTACAACATTAACATCCAGTGGCATAAGTGCACCTAAAAATTGATATCATGTCTATGAAAAAGGTATTGAATAAATTTTAAGTTATATTTGTGCAAATTAACCTTTTATTTTTTTATTTTATTTTTTTTCTTCTGAGCAGCAGGAGCATACTATCCAGCTCAATCACCGTACTCTGCAACAGTCCAGCCTGCACCGGTCATGATCAACCCAGCCCAGCACCAGCAACAAGCCCCGCCTCCTCAGCAACTGCCACCACAGCCACAAGGCCCACCAAAGAGGGAACGCAAACAGGTAGTGTTTCAACAAAAGAGCAGCACGCCTCTTGTGAAACATGAATGAATAAAAAATGTGGCCTTTGTTCAATGTGGAACTTTCCTTTACCTCCACATAACAATGACATTGTAATGCTGGGTGGCAACTATAGGTCAGGAGTGACAGAATGTTTGCATAGTGCTTATTACATTTGTACATATCTTAAACTTGATTTTTTTTAATGACAGATAACGATACGAGACCCCAACCAAGGTGGGCGTGATATCACAAAGGAGATCATGTCAGGTGGAAGATCCTCCACCACACCAACGCCCCCACAGGTAAGACAAAGCTTTCAGAAGTCATTTTAGTTTCTTAGTACTTGTAAAATGGTAAATGATAAATGAACTTTACTTATATAGCAACTTTCTATATTATCAAGACACTCAAAGTGCTTTACACTACAATCTGTGCCCTCATTTACTCATTCATACAGCACTTTACTAGATCTCTACAAAGCTAATTGAATAAATTATTCTAAAGAGACTAATCAGTGCTTTATCACATTCATACACTGATGGGACACACATCAGAGACCATGAGGGGTTCAGTGACTTGCCCAGGGACACTTCAGCATGTGACTGCTTGTGGATTCAAACCCCCAACTCTCGCATTGGAGGACTACTGCTCTAACCACTCAGCCACAGCCGCCTATATTTTTTATTTTATTTTTTTCAATAACAAAGTACTATACAACTACCAAAGTTACTAAAATATAATGAAGTAAGTTGACACACTTCCAGCAAAATATGCAATGAGTCAATGCATAGGCAGTTTCTTTCGGCTGCTCCTTTCTTCATGGGTCATCACAGCAAGCGGACTCGCATGAAAGATTTGGCAATAGTTTTATGCTGGATTCCCTTCCTAACGCACCCTGGTTTTGAACCCGCAACCTCGGGTTTACAAGACCGTGGTACTGAGCACCAAGCTACCACAGCCCCATAGTTAATACATACTGTTTTGTAGTTAATGGACAGTTGATGTTTTTTTTTATTTATTTTTTTATACCTGAACAGTCCTGTGGAGATCTGTTTTCATATCTAAAGTTTGGTTTATGGTCCAGGCAAAGGGCTAAAACTATGTCTCCTTGAAGTGGGTGCGTGACAAAAATAGTGTATTTTTCTACTCTTACCACCTGTTAAGACACAGTCTTGTGCCCCCAATCAAAACTAGTTCTCACAATACTGAGCATTGTGTGATTGGTAAGGGCTTTGTGAACATGTTTGTTTATGAAAAGTGGCTGCAGATGATGCTCTCTGCTGAAGAGCTGTTGGCTAATGCTGTTAGAAAATACTTCCATCATTACAAGTGTTCCAGAAAAAAAAAAGATAGTCAAAGAAAACTTTTAAAGATAGTCAAATATGGTAACTTGTGGATGGAGATTGCACCATTTTTGTGCACCGAGACGAGTAGTAGAAGGCCCTTTTGCCTAGTTCAGTCCGCACTGAGGGAATACTGCAGGTAATAATGTCCTGAGAGCGCGCGCTGTAGCTGCACTCATGCAGAGACGTAGGAGGAGATGTATAAAGGCAGCAGACCAAGAAGTGAAATTAAAATAACATCGGTCCACGCTTACAGCTGCTCTGTCTGTCTTAGTTCTTATTGTGTGTGTGATATGTGCTACAGTGGGGGGGGACGTATCAGGACATCAAAAAGAGAACGAGAAAAAGTTGATCTCAAATCATGTCAGCTAGATCCAGTATTTCAAAATTCTGTGAAGTATTGCAGCACCTCCTGTCAACTGCCATCAATTAAGGTGCTAAAACTATTGCTTTCTGATTTCAGGCCTCCATAGCAGATATAAGTGTTGCCCAGACCAATGGTGAAGTTGTACAGACTGCCATTGCTGTGACAAGAGAAGGTGAGATTTTCCATCGTTTTGAGTTGCTAAAAAATGCTAAATGTCTGCACATTTTTCTAACTGAGAAAATATTTTAATGTTTCATGCTAACCAGATGAACATAAGGAACTCCCCTCCAGTGCTGATACTCCTCCACCGCCAGCTCCAGTAGACACTGAGCCTGTGGTAGAGGTCCAACTGGAAGTAGACCGCCAACTTACGCCGCCTCTTGAATTAGCTGCACAGACTGTGGCTGCTACAGTTTCTACTGAGGTGCTGCCCCCACTAATAAAGGACCAGCTGCCTCCATCTTCCCTCCCTCCAGTAGCAGCAGGTACCATTAGTGATGCAGAGGTCATAAATAAAGTAGGCTCTAATGTTAGTGACACAGTTGATGCTCCTGTTGGACCCTCAGCATCATTAGCGGCGGCACAAGACACACCTGTGAAAACAGAGGAGCCACAGGCTGCCCCATCTGAAATGGCACTCAAAAAGGAAGAAGTGGAAATAGAAGATGTTAAAAAATTGGAGAAAGAGGAGCAGACACCTACTGCTAAGTTAGAGCCTGCAGTTGAGGTTGCAGCAACAGTTGCCCCTGTAAAAATGGAAAAAGAGGAAACGGCTGCAAAAGCAACAAGTGAAGTTTCTCAGCCTCCCCCCTCTGCACTGGAACCTGCTGCTCCACAGGCCCAGGACGTCAGTCAGAGCTCTGCCCCTGAACCAGAACCCACATCGGCTGAAATAGCAGAGCCTTCCCTCCACAATGGCCTTCCTCAGGAGACTGAAGAGCTGTCTGAGGATATACCGGTTTCTAACACTACACCTCATGACAAACCTGAACCTGCTCAATCTCAGGAGTGCACACCTGTGGCAGCACACAATGTGGCAACATTACCAACGCAGGAGGAAGAGAAAGAGACACAAGAGGAAGAGTCGCATCACAAGAAAAAAGAAGATACGCCTCATCCCCCTGCCAGCTGCCCAGAGGAACCTACTATGCAAGGTAAAGTATTTGTTGTGGGTGTCACTGGAGCCCATGTCCAGCCATCACTGTGCAAGAGGCGGGGTACACCCTGGACTGCTTGCAAGTCCATCACAGAGCCAGATAGAGACAAACAAGAACATTTCACACTCACACCTAGGGACAATTTCGAGTTACCAATCAGCCTAACGTGCATGTTCAGTTAACAGCATGTGCCATTTTTGCAGATAATTTTACATGTAGTTCAATGATGGTGATAGTTTGCTTTGCCTGGAAGCAGACTTAATTTCATCACAAACATGCAAAATTTGTGAAATGGAACAAAAAGTAGAAGTTAAGCAAAGGAAAAAGTAAGCCTGTGGAGTAAGTGCTGTGGCTCATTAATGCGATGACATTAGAGTGACTGCCTGCTTCATTAAACAGATTTATTACTGAGGAAATGTTGATGATACACGGCAGCTTCAGTTACTGTAAAAAAATTTTTTTTTTAAATTTACCATAAAAAGGGTCGCTAAAGTGAGTTAATTAGAGATCCCTGACCTACCTCATGACCCAAGGTCATTCATCTAATAACTGAATTACCCGCTCAGAATGTCATAAAGTTTAGTTGAAGCCTGTCAATGACTTGTTCATTTCAGTCAGATGAGTTGAAGCAGGGAAACGGCTCAAAATGCAGGACTGTGAGCCATAAAGATCAGGGTTGGGGACCTGTGAGTTAGTTATGTTTTGTAAATGACATGAGAGAGATATCTGTTATACATTTAATGCGTCACGTTCCACTTTGGTCCAGCTGAGTTATGTTGGATGCCTCATTTAGTTCTGAAAGCTCCCGTCTGCAGCAACTGGCCGACTGCGTCTGATTTATGAATTGCCAGAGGAAGCTTAAAGACGAACTGGTCTGTGCGGCCGTTTCAAGGATCTGGAAAAAGCCTTTACAGAATGTGTGTGAGGGTGCATTCACACCAGCCCTGTTTAGTCCACTTTAATCGAACTCTAGCTCGTTTTCCTAGAAAGTCCGGTTTGTTTGGGGATGTGTGAACTCGCCATCGAACTGTGTCACGGAACAAAAAAGCGAACTCTGGCCCGGGCTAAAACATAGGTCTCGGTCCGGTAGAAGAGAACTCCAGCGCGGTTCGAGTACAGTGTGAATGTAAACAGACCGAGCCCCGCTCCGCAGGACAAACAAACATGCATTTCTCTGACCTTATATGGAGCTGTCAGCTGACTTATGTGAAAAACAATATTCTCCATGGTCTTCTGCCTCATCTTCTGCTCATGCTAAGTCCATTTTTAAAAAATGACAAAATATAACTCCTAAAACTGCTAAAACTTGATGCCACTTCGTTTTTATTTTTATTTACAGAAGAAGAAGACGTGTCTTCAGAGGTTTTTATGTCGTTTCTTTCATTAGTTCTTGGTGCAGCGCCCCCTCAGGCGAGCAGGGGAATAGGTTGGTTCAACAGTTTGACTCGACTGCACAGTGCAGTGTGAATGCAAACTCACCAGCTCAAATGTAAACAAAAGGTCATGAATATTGGTCCCGAACCGAACCGAGTCTACCGGACTATCTGGTGTGAAAACGACCTGAATCACCTCATGGGGAGTGGACACAGACCCATGTTAAAGCTTTCATGTAGGATCCTGCAGGTTGTGTTGGCCCCTAATTTTTGATGGTCACATATTTCCGAGATAGACTACTTTTTTAAATTTGCGTTTTGTTGTACTGAAAATAAATTTAATTCTTGGTTTTTATTTTAAAATTTGAGTTTCCTTGTTTCAGATGCCCATACAGGACATGGCAATGTGTAAACACTTTTCCTCCAAAAAGTGAGCTAGGTTTAGGCTTGGTTTTTTTTGTTGTTTTTTTTGGGACGTTGCATTACTGTAAATGTTTATCAACTTTTTTTTTTTCTGCAGCTACGTCTGTGCCAAAGAAAAAGAAATTCATGAAAGAGCTCAACAAGAAGGAAGCCATTGGGGACATGCTGGATGCCTTTAAAGATGTGAGTCTCATTTTCATACTCTCCAATAGACCAGCTCCTTAATCAGCATCTATTTTTAGTGAGATATTTAGTTTTTCAAATGGCATTCTCATTAACTAACTTCATTATTTTAATCCTTGCAGCAGGAGCCGGAGGCCAAATCTGTTCCTGAACCCGTACCCATTCAGGCCAGTCCTCCAGCTCCAGCTGAACCTCCGGCTGAGGTCGTCGATGAGACCTGGGAGGAGAAAGAGGACAAGCAGAATGCAGAACCAGACAAACCTACAAACACACTTGAGGCAACTGAGCATAAATACCAGTACAAAGAAGGTAACTTGTGCCTTTAAACCATTAAAAATGTAAAATTGTTAGTGTTGCATTTCAGTATTATTAATATTGGATGTAAAATTAATTTCAAAACTATTTAAGAATTGTTAATATTGTTACAGAACTAGTTTCACTTCCTTGAGTACAAATAGTTGCAATAATATATACATATATAGAAAAACAGTCTTATTACTTGCAATAAACCTACGTCTTCATCAGTTCTTTTGTTTTTGGTCATCACAACATTTTCTATGATTTATTGCAGCCCAGGCATTTTATTGCAACACTTATTTTGCTCACGGAGACATTTTGATGACGTTAAGTTTGATACAATAGACTACAGGACTGTTGTGTTTCACTCATGCCCGTTGTTTGCTACATCTTCATTAAAGGTTTTGAGATTTTCAACTAGACCGGCTTGAAGCTTTAGTACAATAATCTTTTTAAAATGTTATTTTTAAGAACAATGGAAGCCGATAAACCCAGAAGCGAAGAAGCGGTACGACAGAGACTTCCTCCTGGGCTTCCAGTTTATCAGCGCTAGTATGCACAAACCTGAGGGACTGCCCATCATCAGTGATGTGGTCTTGGACAAGGTAAGACGTTCAGCTTCAGTGGGGGGGGGGGAAATTCAGTAGATTATCTGACTTAATTTGTTGTTGTATAAAATGGATTTTTATCGCTCAAAATGCATTTTGTGTTAATGCTGTTGTTTTTTTAATTCAGGTAAACAAGACTCCACTTCGGCCTGCTGACCCAGCTCGACAGATGAGTGCTGGTTCTGATTTTACGCCCTCATATTTGGGAAATCTTGGGAGCAGATCAGTGGGAGGACCACGAGCCCCGGTGAGTTAATTGCGTTTCTCTTTTTGAAAACACACAAGTTTCTTCCCACAACATCTTCTAAATTTACATTGTGTCTTTCTTTTAGCCCCCTGGGCCACGGCGCTCCCAGCAAGGCCAGAAGAAGGTGCCAATAAGGATCATCAACAGCATGTCGCTTAATGATGATGTGCAGCTTAACAAGGCTGAGAAAGCCTGGAAGCCCTCTACAAAGAAGCCCGCTCGTAGTCATGGAAGAGAGGAAGTTGATGAAGACGACCCTGAACAAGCCAAAACTCGAGAGCTGTTCAAGCGTCTGCGCAGCATCCTGAACAAACTGACGCCACAAAAGTTCGAGGAGCTGATGAAGCAGGTGACGGACCTGAAGATAGACACAGAAGAAAGGCTGAAGGGCACCATTGACCTCATCTTTGAGAAGGCTATCTCAGAGCCCAACTTCTCTGTGGCCTACGCCAACATGTGCCGCTGCCTTATAACCGTAAGTCACGCTTTACTTGTTGTTGTCTCTGCTCTAATGATGACTCCACTTTTGTGCCACGTGTCTGGGCCACTGAAATCTCATGATGGTATTGAGGAACTGAAAGAGCACTGTTTCATCTAATCCAGATTTACTGTCAGCTGGTTGAATGTTGTTGACTTTATTCATAAATATGCAAATATGTCCTCCTCCAGTTGAAAGTACCCACCTCAGACAATTCAGGAAGTTTTGTGAACTTCCGCAAACTGTTGCTCAACCGATGCCAGAAAGAGTTTGAGAAGGACCAGGATGATGATGAGTTCTTTGAGAAAAAGCAGAAAGAGATGGAGGTTGCTAAAGATGTAAGAATTTTTTTCAATCAACTATTTATATGAAATTGAACAACTACAAATTCCAACAATAAGCACAAACCTTGTTTCCTCAGGAGGAGGAGCGTGAGCGTTTGAGGGTGGAGCTTGAGGAGGCCAAGGACAAGGCTCGACGGCGGTCGCTGGGTAACATAAAGTTCATTGGTGAGCTCTTCAAGCTGAAAATGTTGACGGAGGCCATCATGCATGACTGCGTGGTGAAACTACTGAAGAATCACGATGAAGAGTCTCTCGAGTGTCTCTGCAGACTTCTCTCCACTATTGGCAAAGACCTGGACTTTGAAAAGGCAAAGGTGAGTAAATTATAGGGGAAAATGGATGGAAGTAAAGAATGTTGGTAAACAAGTGCACGTTAAATGTCTTCAGTGATGACTTTGTCTTTGTGCCACGTGTCTGGGCCACTGATGATTTAGTGATGGGTTTGAGGTACTGAGGAGACTTTTGCGTCCATTAAAGCATTCTTACCCTTTGGCGTACACCAGTTTTACTTTACCTATTGCACATAAAAGCCACCTCTTCTGTCTTTTGCAGCCTCGTATGGATCAGTATTTCCACCAGATGGACAAAATCATCAAAGAGAGAAAGACGTCATCCAGAATTCGATTCATGCTGCAAGATGTTCTGGACCTTAGAAGGGTAATTATCTCATTCAAGATACTGCAATAAAGGAACTAATAATATGTGCTTATTTGAGTGCTGAGTTTTATTAAAACGAAATTTTGATACTGCACAACTCCTCTTTTGTAACAATAAATGCCTGGTTTTAACACATTTGACCCTCAGAGCAACTGGGTGCCTCGGAGAGGAGATCAAGGTCCTAAAACAATCGACCAGATTCACAAAGAGGCAGAAATGGAAGAGCACAGGGAACAGATCAAAGTCCAGCAACAGCTCCTATCAAAGAAAGAAAGCGGAGGAGGAGGAGGAGGCAGAATGGGAGGTAACGTGGGAGGCCGAGGCACCCACACACCAGGAGGGAGCCGGACGAGCCAGCCCCAGGACGAGGGCTGGAACACGGTGCCCATTTCAAAGAATCGTCCTATTGACACCACCCGCCTTAGCAAGATCACAAAGGTAAAAACAAAATTCTCTACACACGGAGTCTAGAACTGCAATAAAGTGTCAAGTAGTAGCTTTATAATTTTATCTTTCCCTCTAGTCTGGAGCTGTCGACTTCAATAATCAGCTACTGGCTCCTGGAGGAAAAGGCATGTGGGGTAGCTGGGGTAAAGGCAGCAGTGGAGGAAGTGGAGTTAAACCAGCAAGTGGAGATCAAGGTAAAATTCCTCTCTAAAAGAAGGAATTAATTATTTTTGTCCCCCGTAGCAGAGTGAAAAAGGGGGAGCTGGAGAAACAGTCAGTCCGTCCATAAACATCGTTTAACTTGAAAATTAAGTGAGGTACCGACTTCCATTTTGGTGTGTGGCTACATTCAGGCCTAAGAAAGGGTTCTTTCAAAAATTGGGTTGTCAGGTCAAAATCCAAGATGGCCACCCCCAAATATAGATTGTGTTCTGGATAATAATAAAAACAAAGCATTGGTAAAACTTTCTGGTGTGTGGCTGCAGCTAGATGCAAGAAAGTTTATTTTCGAAAATCACATCAAAATCCAAGATAAACACCAACTATATAAATAAACTGGCCCCCACATCATTTGGCCAAGGCCGCCATCGGCCACCCCCTGGCTCTGCCATTGTGCTTAATGGTGGATAAAAATGCTCCCTCCGCTCGCCAGGATTAACGCTGCAACGTTCCTCTGTACACAGTTATGGTGTTCTACTCTGTTATTATAACACCTACTCACTTAATTATCTCGCTCCAAAATCATTAATGTTTTATTCCTTGTTCAGTTCCAGTGCAGAAAAACACTTGTCTAGAAAAATACAAGCAATCGCTATTCAGATCCTTCTGCGATGAGGGACATTGGCGTACTGCGTGTTGTTTATCTTTGTGATTTGGGTTCTAACGCACACATTTTATTCAATTTAGATTCAGGGAGGCCAGCCACCAGCACCCTCAACCGCTTCTCAGCCCTACAGCAGTCTGGTTCAATGTCGTCTTCAGGAGACACTGATCGCAGAGTACCTCAGAGGTATTCAATACTTCTGTTCTCACTACAGTTCCCCATTTACTGCGTTGCTGACGTTTTCCTTTTTTGCAGCCTCTCTGTTTAAATTAAAATGGCCCTTGGGAATTTTTATGCGTGTAAAAAAAATATTAGAAATGTAACTTGTTGCTCACTCCTAACTTTTAGATCAAGCTCCAGTCGCGAGCGGGAAGGTGACAGAGACAGGGGTGACCACGACAGAGGTCGCTTCGACAGATTTACTCGCAGCGAGAGACGCGACGGGAACCAAATCACCAAGAGAAGCTTCAGCAGAGAGTCGCAGGAGCGTGGTGGCAGGGGCGGAGACGGCCGAGCCCCAAATGAATCTGTGCGCCGTGTCGCCAGCATGACCGATAATCGGGACAGAGGAAGTCGAGACAGAGGCAGCAAAGACAGGGGAAGTCGAGAACAAGGAAGTCGAGACCGAGGAAGCCGAGACCGAGGAAGCAGAGACCGAGGTAGTCGGGATACTGGTCCAACCAAAGACCTCCCAGGTATAAAACTTAACAAACGGAAGATTTCAATAGATTTAAGATGCACAAACAAGATGAGCAATATTTAGCTTGTGTTTTTACCTTGTTTTCCTTTAGCTAAGCGCGAAAGTGCTCCAGCTCCTCCCTCTCTTCCAAAACCTACCATGACTGAGGAGGAGGTGGAGAAGAAGTCAAACGCCATCATTGAAGAATACCTCCACATCAATGATGTGAAGGTACACATGGAGCCTAGAAAAGTACATCTACATTAGTTTAGAGCAAAAGTAATTGGTGCTAACATGTCTCGTTTTCTCTTTGGCGCTGTAGGAGGCCTTGCAGTGTGTGGCAGAGCTCAATAGTGTCTCACAGCTTTATATATTTGTGCGCAGCGGTGTTGAATCGACACTTGAACGCAGCACAATTGCAAGGGAGCGCATGGGCTCTTTGCTGCATCAGCTTGTAAAAGCAGGGACATTACCCTTGCAGCAGTACTACAAAGGGTGAGCATTTGTTAAAAATAAAAATCACATCAGGGCATCTGCTGTTAAAAAAAAAAAAAAGAAGGCTGATTTATTTTTGAATCTTGTTGCAGGCTACAAGAGACCCTGGAGTCAGCAGAGGACATGGCCATAGATATACCTCACATCTGGCTCTACCTGGCTGAGCTCCTTACCCCCATGCTCCATGAAGGAGGAATCCCTATGGGACAGTTCTTTGGGTGAGTGCTGCAACAAAAAAATAAATGTAATCAAATTCATCTAAATGTTCAAGGTTCTTGAATTTTGGGTTTAGTCAGACAGTCATAGATCATAATGATTTTATTAATTAGAAAATCTATAGGTCCTTAACTTTATATACTTTGTTGTTGTTTTTTTTTTACCCAAATTAACCAAAAATTTGTTTTTTATCCATTTATTCAAAAATCAGTTATTCATACTAGAGCTGCAACAACGAATCGATAAAATACATGATTAAAAGTGTTGGCAACGAATTTCATTATCGATTCGTTATGTCGCGCGATTAAGCGTCTTTCACGGCGCTGCAGGGCCATTTTGTTCACCTGCAGTTCATTGTCAATGCTGACTGACTGAATAAAGTTTGAAGAAAAAAATAAACTGCAGCGCGAGTTGAACAGAGCGAGGTGGGAGGCGGAAGCAGAGCAGAGGCAGTTTTCAAAAGAAATTAAATACATTTTACAAATGACCGACGAGGAGAAAACCGTTCGACCCAAGTCCTCCGAAGGAAGACCAGCAGCAAGTGCTGTCATAAGCCCCGCCCCCTCTCAAAGCGCCAACAGACGACCCCCCCCCTGCCCACAGAGTGGCACACTCACTCACAGTCATTATTATGCCTTAATGTCTTCATCTGGTAACTGAAGCTGAGGATCCACGCTGGTCTAACAGCAGAAACTGAAAGTCGATTGAATGTCACAGGACATTTTCCCTCTGGAATAAAAGATTGTAAATCAAATAGAAACTAGGTCGATTATTTTCAGCTGGAGCGCTTTAGAGATCTGAGCGTTCATCTTAAACATCCATCCATCCATTATCTTTACCCACTTGTTCCATTTTGGGTGACGGGGGTCATCTTAAACATAACTATCTGAAAAAATAAAAACATTGGGGGTTTTTTTGTTTATTTTTTTGGCTTTTGGAACCAATGTTGTAATAATAGTTCATTAAACAGCTACATATTGTTAAAAGTTTAAAGAAGGAAAGTTTAACGTGGCGTTGTTGTCTTTAGGGAGATCTCGAAGCCTCTCGTGCCTCTGGGGAAGGCTGGTGTGCTGCTGGCACAGATCCTCAAGCTGCTCTGCAAAGAAATGGTAAGAACATAAATCTAAAAGCAGCATAATTGAGTAATCTATTATTATTTTGTACTTCTACACATTTCAGCACTTAAATTGAGTTTATCCCTCCCACCAGACTCAGAAGAAGGTTGGGACTTTGTGGAGAGAAACGGGACTAAATTGGAAAGATTTCTTGCCGAGTGATGAAGACGTGAACAAGTTTGTCACTGATCAGGTAACCTAAGAGATGTTGGACAACTTCTTTATTAATTTAAAGTTACTCTGTTGGGTTCCTGCTTTGCTGTGTCGTCTTTAAACGGGTAAATGACTTGCTTGCCTGGTAAATGAAACCGAGCTGCTAAACCTGTGCATCAAGACTTCTTTGTGTGTTGCGTTTTCCAGAAAGTTGAGTTTACCACAGAGGAGACGGAGACAAAAGACGTTGGCAAGAAGAAAGTCCTCAGCAGAGAAGAGATGAGCAAAGAGCTGGACAGACTTCTGGAGGACAAAGCCAACAACCAGCGCATCAGAGACTGGATCGAGGTATGTGGCACCACAAGGGGCGGGTCTGATTGTTGATGCATATGACTGTTTTGGTTGTGTCTTGTCTTATTTGATGGCAATTATTAATTACCTAGTGATGGTGACCTTTGTTTTATGCAGATTTTTAAATCAGTGTATTATATTTAACCAATATGGTTTTGTTTTAGGCTAACTTGGATGAGCAGCAGACCGCTTCCAACCAGTTTGTACGAGCACTGATGACCTCAGTGTGCCAGTCTGTCATCATATGTAAGGATGACTGCCTGTTTTGATCTCTACATTTGTGTGTTGTTTACTTGTGTGAAGAGTAAGAGATTAGTTGTTAAACAAACAAAACCAGCGTTTTGTGGCTTATTTTGTAACTAGAAGGATGATATATATGTTTTAACTTTCATCAGGTGACAACGCTTACAAGGTGGATGCACAGCAGGTCAACCAGAGGGCCAGCCTTCTGCAGAGATACCTGTGTGATGAGGAGAAGGAGCTGCAGGCCCTTTATGCCCTCCAGGCTCTCATGGTGCACATGGAGCAACCTGCCAGTGAGTGCTCTGGTTGTTTGATGAAATGTAGAGAAAAGTGCAGGATATATTAGAAGCTGAATGTTCTTCGTATGATTTTTGATAGGATAGTAATTATTCTGCAAACAGAACTCAGTGTTTCATCCCCTCCCTTGCATAAATTTAGTGGGCGAGAGCCAATTTAGTGGGCGAGAGCCAATTTATTGCACCGAGACAGTTCTTTGAATGTCAGGGAGGGGTCAATACTGACCTTTGTTCTTTGTTTCTGCAGACCTGCTGCGGATGTTCTTCGACGCCCTGTACGACGAGGACATCATCAAAGAGGACACCTTCTACAAATGGGAGGCCAGCAAAGATCCTGCGGAGCAAACGGGGAAAGGTGTGGCCTTGAAATCAGTCACTTTCTTCTTCATCTGGCTCCGCGAGGCCGAGGAGGAGTCGGACAAGGACTAAGGGGACGGAAATATAATCTGCTGCCCCCTGTTGTCGAGACGAGGGATCTACAAAGAGTAATGGACAATTTATAAAGCCGGAGTGGCAGACTAATCAGTCCTCAATGAGGATAAATCTTTTTTTTCCTTTTCTTTTCTTTGAGAGATGAACTTAAAAACAATAATTTCTCTCCCCTCCTCTCCTGCTTTACACAGCAAGTGTCCTCATGAAATAAACTTGAAAACTCTTCAGCAGGACCGCTTCTGAACAAGGTGTGAAATGTCCCACATCACTACGACGTCTCGTCACCGTAAACACAAACCAACCGGCTGCTGTCATTCTTCTATGCCTAATAGCCTCTGACGTGCAGAAAGAAATGGCAAGGGTGTGCGGTGTGGTGGGGGGGTCATGTGCTCAATCCAAACACAGGTCTTCTGTCTGTCCTTTATTGGAGCGTGCAGCACGACTGAAGTGTTTCTGTGAAAAATACACAAACTAATAATTTGTCTGATGGAGTTTCTAAAGCAAAGGTTGTCTATTTTTCCTGTTTCCCTTTTTCCCCTTACAGAGGACTGATGTGGACTTGGACTACTGGGAGGTGGTCTTAATGCTTCCTCTAAGCCATCCTCTCCCACCCCCCAGTAGCAAACTACACTGACTGATACTTCCTCTTGACCTCCTCTGAACTTAAACCTGACTCTTAAAGACCTAATCACAGCTAAAACTTGAAATCTGCAGAAGAAATTGACTTGATAAGATATATATATATATAAATATATATATATATATATATATAAAGAGAAGGCGTGGGGGAAAAGAAAACAGAAGTGATCTGAAAGCCTTTTCTACTTTAAGTGAAAACTCATTTCAGGACCTTTCTGTAAATATATAACAATTATGATATACTTTTTTTTTTTTTCTTCTTCTGTTTTTATTTTTCAGAAACGGTGATTTTCTGATATAATTGCAGTGTCTCCTTTTCCAACACAAACAGTTGTCCAGATGCAGAGAGGTGCTTTAGATTATCCATTGATTATTAGTTTTATTTGAATTGTGTAAATATGTTTTTTGCTTTCTTTATTTAAGAAATGATTGCTTCTTTTGCATCAAACTGGAAAGAGGAGGTAACCAAACATTACAAATAAAGGAGTTATTAAGTTGCAGAACAGAGTTTTGAGTGGAATGCCTTTGATTTGATGCTTTTACTGACATCATTTTCATGTTGCACTAATCACTATTTACCTTTTACAAGCCGCGATTTATCATAAGGCTTTCTGGAGCTCATTTAAAGTAGATATTTTTCCATTATTTAAGCTGCTATAGAGAAGATTAACAATATCTGAAAGTCTTCAGAAATGAAAGAAAAACCTGACAGACCTGAGGGGGTGACAAGTTGTCAGTAAATCGCTCCAGTCACCTTTTTGGTACTAAAATACGATTTATTCCTTCCAATATTGTATTTTTTGTTTGCTTTTGGTATTTTTCATTGATTCAACCCAAATAAATGAAATAAGTTGTAACTAAGTGCATAAAGCTCCAGTTTTAAAACTTTTTTTTTTTTTTTTTTTTTTTTTTTTTT